GCACTTTCTCACTTCTTTAGTAAGATCAGTGTTCAATTCTCCAAGACTCTTTCTCTTTTTTCAGGGCTTGGGTACGAGAACATAATGTGAAGAAATCAGGGTCGAAGTTTAGACCGCTCACACTAGTTCGACCTGTAGAAAAGATCATCAATCAGAGAGGAGACAACTCATTTATGATTCCAGCCGAGAAGATTAGTAAAAGGAGAAGGATCAAGAATGTCATATATTTCAGGAGCTAGATCAGTTACCGATAAACAAGTCAGAATTACCTCAACCAAAATTGATTGAATTGGACCTAAAAAAGCTATTCTGGTTCGTTATCGATTAGGTATCAGTGGGAACATCAAGATCAAAGAGTTAACTAAGTCTCAGATCGACCAAATTGAACAAATGATAGGTCAAGATCACATTGTTCATTGGGAATTGAAGAGGGGAGAACGAGCAGTCATCGAACGATTTCTCTTTCTTGTTATCATGGAATTCGTCATCAAGATGGATTGCCCTTACGCAGTCAACGAACTCATACTAATGCTAGGACTTGTCGCAAGCGAATTCGGAAATGAAATCAGTCTACCGAAAGCCCTTGGTACTTGTCGGATCAATCACACAGTTAAATAGTTCACTTCAATTTGGCGTCTTTTGGTATTTCAGCGGTTACTAATCTAGTATAGGTAACGTATGCCTCCTTCGCCACTCCATTAGTGGCTCGGCTTCATCCTAGAAGTTACAGCTTCCGCCTCTCACGGATTCACTATCGCTCATGACTGGTATATGGATCTCTTGATTTATGTAGTGGTCGGCCTGATAAAAGCTAAGCTTGGCCAGAAAGAAGCTACTAGTCGCTTCCCGAATGCCTGCCTCTTGACTTATGGTCTAGTCTGATTTCCAATGCCTCCTTCCCTTCCTTGCCGCCAACGGAGAGTAAGCAAGCGACCTTGCTTGCATTCGTCAAAGGGTAGCTTCTGCGCCCTTACTGCCTGCTTCAATTGATGTGAATGAGAGTATCTTCAAATCCTATTTAGTCTTTTTCTTTCTCTCTGTCACTGAAACAAGAAGTTCTGTCTTTGTTTTCTTTTCGGATTCCGAGGATGAGCCGGCCGATCCTAACATCATTTATGAGGAGCTAGACGACGAAGTCTCCTCCTCAGATAAAGATGTCTTCGATGTGACTGGCAAGAACCACTTTTTCTATTGTGATTCTTTTTGCGGGTTCGGTCAGGTAATAGAAGCTAAGGAGAGATGCTTTCCATCAGTCAAAAGCAGATATCGCCCACCCATGCTCCCCAAGTCCGCTTACCGAGGAATAGAAAGGGAAGAACTGGAGCCAGAGCTAGTTGGGTTGGGGTAAAGAGTCGTAAGCGCAGTGGGGGGTGACAGAGGACGTGCTCATACAGTTCAAAGAAGGGTATGATCAACTCGTTGATTGTTGGGAACTTTCACTCTATATTCAAAATATGCTTTCTAGGAGCATTACGATCTGCAGCTCAATGGTACCTTATGAAGTCTCTATCGGTCTGATTCTTATTGTGCGCCTTGTGAGCGCGTTTGGATCCGCGAAGGAAATCGCTCGGATGTTCTCCTAACCCAACCCGGGAACGGACTGGAAGGAATCGCATCATTGGGAATGTTCGCATCTCGTCGCAAGGCTCATTTTGAGTTGTGGGTCGGGGGTTTATCTGATTAAGGGCCGGGGCACAAGGGTCCTGGTACTATCCAGGTGCGAAGAACCACGGGGGTGACTGCAATGAGTAGAAATCTCACTTACCGGCCTAAACGACGAGCAAACACTCCAACGTGAGAGCAAGGGATCACCCAAGGAATGGACGAGTTCCAAGGAGGGAGGCAAGAACCATGCTTTCAGAGACTTAACCCAACCCAACGGTCCCGAAGCTTATCTGAATTGCTAGAATAACTGACTAAGTCATGCCTATATATAGGCTCATTCTCCAAACGGCGCGGGGCCAAGCCTTTAGGTTGTTTAAGTAGATTGGGTGAAAGATCGGCCATAGCAGTACTCCGGGATATAAACCAGGGCAAAAAATGTCGAGCATACGACGATGCCGCCCGTTTTAATTTCGTGGAAGTCCCCACCAGAGGAAAGAAAGGGTTGTAGGTGATGGTGTGTTCCGCTTCTTATCTAGAGAGGGAGTAAGGAGTAAGTAGCTCGACCGATAGGGAGAGAGAGGGGTGAAGCTGTGAGACGAGAAGAGGGGCGCTGAAATCGTTCCTATTGGATTGGGTCGTGCGCGGCAACTGGTAGAGATGAATGATGAATAAAGGCGGGCCGCTTCAATGGGACCTATTCTCGTAATAGGCGGCAAAGTAAAATAGGAAAGGGGCTGAGTGATGAGTGCCTTTTTAGCCTTTTTCTAAAGACTCTCATGTGAAGCTAACATGGCTCGCTACATACAAGTATAGCCAAAGAAAGATGAGACGGGACAGACGGTCAGAGGCTGTAGCAGGACTACCATAGGAAAGCCCGCCCCCTCCCGCTAACATAGAAAGTGATTCCCATAACTAGTCTCTATGTGAATCTCTTCCCAACCAGCCGAATCGGGCCACCACTTGGGGTGGGAATGGCTCAGCCTACATGCATCATTTGATGAAAGCACTCTAGTCCAGTTGCCTCCTCGTAGTGGCTTGTCAACCATGCTTTCCCTCCCTCAAAACAATGCTCCTCACCAAAAGCCCTTGGGGCAACACAGCAATGAGTAGTTCGCTCCAGGACTCCACCCCCTCGAGAGCAGGATGCCGGCCGAGATAGAGCTGGAAGCCAACCTAGACTTTCCTGGGGCTTGTCCCAACATCTAAATCAAATTGTTGGCAGGCTAGAAAAGGAACCAGCCCAGCCTCGAAAATCAGGCTTTGCATGGTATGCCCTGCCTATTCACTCGGACAATGCTATGAACACGAAAGTGTGCAGTTTCGCCCCCTTCTCCCATGCTGAGTCACAAGAAGTGCCACTGAAAGCACGGACGAGCCACATGCAGGGAAACTTGCACGTGTGGTTCTGGCCGGGGACCCTGGTATACTGTACTAATATGTGTAGGTCCCCGTAATTCGAGTGAGATTGTCATGGTGCAAAAGAAGATATGGTCTGGTATTCCCTTGTTCCCTATATTGGTTATGTTCTTTATTTCTCGTCTAGCAGAAACTAATCGAGCTCTGTTTGATCTCCCAGAAGCGGAAGCTGAATCAGTTGCAGGCTATATAATGTAGAATATGCGCGGGATGCGATCCTTAATAGTCCACTGTTGGCGGAAGCCAATGTCCTGGGGTTCCGGGGATTCATTCTAACTGAAACAAGGGGTGGGTCTTTACCAACTTTCAAATATTCGCGATTTGAGGGAAGCCAAAAAAAACCTCACAAACCAAGGGATTGAGCAGCGCGAAAGCCACGATTAGACTCTACCTAATAAGGGCGTATTAGAGTGGCATTAACGTCCCCTTCCCCTTACCCCTAAACAAAAAGGTTTTTCAGAAAGTTGTCTACGCCTTTTGAAAACCTGACTAATAATAATAATCAAGGGCAAAATGCGCTCAAACAACCAACCTATCTGACTAATAAGAAGAAAGAAAGAAAGGGCCCTATCTAAGCTCTCTCGTTGTAAAGCTACAGCTAAAAAGCCGGCCTTACCTTCTATGTTTGTTATTAGTAAAGCCTAAAGCCCTTGACTAATAAAGGGATTTTCTTGCTTGTTTAGTAAAATCACGCTTTTCATTTTGATAGGAGTAGATGCTTGCAGGGGCAGGGCACTCTTCATTCTTCATTCGAAACTAATGAATCTTGGGTCGGGGGGTTCTGCCTTGTTAGAAAAAAGAGAGTTGGGTAAAGAAAACTCCCTCCTTGGACGAGCACGGGGCTTAGTCAAGTAGAACCGGGTTGCGCTGCTGGATGCTCCGATCGAAAATCAATCAGTGGGGCCATGCTGGTATGACTGAATATGCGTTAGAAAGGCCAATCCCTCCCCTACGACACCAAAAAAAAAAAACCAGGCCGAACTTCTACACGCCCGCTTCCATAGAACAATATCGTGGCAACGTAGACCTAAGTGGTCATATTGGATCCTTGGGAACCATCACAAGTATGGCCGGCCTATATTTGAACGAGAATGCCGTGTCGTCCAGCAAAGCCTAGAAGAAGGGGACTCTGTGCAGACAACTGACTCCTTTTCAATAGAAAGGAATAGCCAAACCAACCCAGCTGGCTAGTCAATCTCAAAGATCTTATTTGCCGGCAAACCAGAGACAGACGACCACGGTCCCGACCTTACCAGCACCGGAGGTTTACTAATCAATGAACCCACGAAACCTACTTTCTTTTCTGACAAAATCAACCAAGCCTAACCGGTCACGACATCTTGTTGATATTGATTGAGTTGGACTTTCGTTGACTGAATCCATCCATAAACCTAGACCCCGCCAACCTTCGTAACCAAAGCGTCACGACAACATCAAAAGGGCACTTTTCAATTCTGAAGTCGGTGAGCAAGGAGGAGCACGTAGGAATGAATGTCGACCACTACATAAATAAGCCACTTGTGGCTGAGAGAAAGCGAGCAGCACCTTGTCTTGTACTAGCTAGCCTTTTTTCGCTGGTTGCCTGTTAGTTGTAGCGCGTCTTCCCTCCTTCTCTCACTTCGGAAAGATTTAGCAGCATTTCCACGATATCGTTATGATCAATTAATGGGACTTGGCCGGAAAGTGTTCTTTTCTCTATCATTAGCTCGAGTAGTCGCCGTTTCTGGTGTTTCAGTCAACTTTCAATGGTTCCCTTAATTATGTGCGAGGAATTTCCCTCGTCGAGTAATGGGAAGCGGACTAGTCCCCGAAAATGCCCGTTCCTTTGTCATTGGGGCCCAAAATCTTCCTTGCTGAGACTTGACTTGTAGTCTTGCTACACTACACGACACGAGTGACGGGTGAAGTTGAAGCAGACACTGTCAGTATAAAGAATCTTTCTCGAGCTTAGGTACGGGCGACTCAGTCACATATGCTCGACTGAATATGCAGCCATGGAACTGCTAAATCCGAGACTCCAGTTCCGGTCAATCGTGTTTGTCAGCCTAAATCACCCTTTGGCAACCCGACTGAACAAATGCGATGACGCGACTTGTGTAGCGAGGGGTTTTCCACAGTGGAACCTGTGTTCAGTCTATGAATAGTGGGACATTCTCAATTCAAAGTGGACTTTGGGGTCAAAGCCTAGACCAAAGAGGGAGACTCATCGGGTAGGAAATACCATCCTCAGCTAAACCAAGCCCCGGGTGGTAGCCTAATCGAAGAAGTTGAGCCACAAGCCCACCTTTTTCTAAACAGCGTGGTCTCGAGGAGGAACCCTCATTGTGAATTTCATGTGGGATATCCACCAAAGAAAGGATACCAAGAATGGTTGTGGATCAATACAAGATCGAGGAGAAGGGACTGAACGTCGAATGAAGCTTGGGTTGACGGGGGCGCTATCAAGGTAGAGACATCATCTGTTCATGGGAAACTTAATAATGATATGATATGTGGATGCCACAACCAAGTTGGCGTGGATCCAAGGTCATTCTACCAACATTTTTTATTGTAGTATATCCGCTACATGGAATAGAGTTGACCGAACAAGGGGTCCCACTTAGAGATTTAGTCGAACTACTATACCTTGCGCGGTTCAAGGAGTCCCGTCATATGCACAAGCATCTGTAGTGAGGAGCAAACCTTTCAGGGTCCAAATTCAACTGTCTGGCTGTACTCAATATGCAAATATGAAATCCTGCACTAGTTTCGATGACGATCCTCTTTATTTGGTAGTGGTCGACTAAGGGCTCCACATGCAGGGGTCGAGTATGGGGATAGCGGTCAAAATCCTTCTGAATTCGGGTAATTTGTTGGGGAGAAAATAGACAGCCCACCATAGCTTGCAAACCCTCACTCAGGTGAAATGGAAATAGGAGCGCTCGCTTGTGCTAGCCTTTGGCAGCCGGACTTGTGAAGTGGACAGAAGTTCCATAATCGAGATCAGGCAGGAAGATTTTCTTCAACAGGTTGGGTCTGTAGGAGATATAATATAAAAGGATGGCTTCGAAAAAGCAGGCTGAATCCCAACAGGTTGGTTGAGAGGCTGCGAATGAGAATTTTGTCGGTGGTATTGACCTGGCTGTAGCACAAGGGAAGGGTATTGATGCAAAGATCATCAAGCCTAAATTAAATGGGCCTAGCCAAGTATGGGATAGTCGTTCTGCTAGGCTTCCCCGCCATGTTGATGGGCGCCCCCACCGCTGCTTGAGGTAGGGTAACATAAGTCTTTTCCTGTGAAGGGGTGAGCGGTTCTCGAGGAACGAAGCAGCTTGACTTATAGTTGTAGAGGGTTTTTTTTTTCTGAAATGGTTGGAGTTAATATGGTTGAGGATTTTGTGCTACAAAAATGGGCATAACCATAGGAGAAGGAATCGTCACTAGCGGTTGTTTAGGTGCCGTAGACTGCTTGTTCCATAACAGAGTGGCTGGCACAGGATGATCAATCTTATTAAGGCTAGCTTGTTGTTGTTTTGGCATGCTTGAAGACGTTTGGCTCTCCATGGGAGCCTTGCCCCCTCCCCTCTCTGCACATGGTTCACGAACCCACTTTCGGACTATGTGAAGAAAGAGGTTCGATGGAGCAGCGATGGATGTTGGGGGTTGTCTCGAATTCCCATCAACGTTTTTTCCTCCTCAACGAGGTATTGAAAAAGAATGCCTAATAGCTCGCATATGTTAGTGCTATATCCGGATGTCATTTTCGAGATTTGTTGGGTCATATAGCCTAGACGCTTAGGTTCTGGAGGCGGGTGGGCAGGCCCATCATCTTTAATGAACTTTACTTGTCAAAGAGAAAAGAACAACCCGGTCCGCAAAAGAAGTAGTCAATTGTCGACGCCTACGCAGGTCATTTCTTTGACCTTTCCAATTTGACTGTTGAGAGCACTCTAGACTGTCGAAGCGATGGGAGCTACCTGGTGTGGCTGGCTTATTTTGATGTTGTTGGGATGGAGAGAGATTAGATTTGCCTAATTGGAGTGGAAGGAGTCTTGTCGTGGAGATGGTTTACTCTGAACTTGAGATTGCTGGTAGGTTTGTTTGGGAGTCTCACTTTCTTTGTTGAGAAGCAAGTTGTTGCTGCTGGGTTGTCACAGCTTGGACGTTGTTCCATCCTACGTCCCCTTTTGTTGCCTTGAAGTTGCTAGGGAACAGGGAGGATGAGAACATAGAAGACTGATATCAATTTGTAATCAATCTTTTTCGGTATAGCTAGCTCTGCTCCCGGGATGGATGCAAGGAAAATGGATAGCGATCAATAGATACGAAGGGGAGGGTATAAAATGGAAGTAGATGGATGATTGCATTAGCGGTTGAGGTGACAGGGGAGAAAGTCGTAGCCACAATCTGGAACATGCATGAAGCAACCTATTTTGTCTCGTGAGCTAATTCAGTCAGAAACCAAACCATATGGTTTAGGGATGAACAAAGAACTATATACGCTCTCTCTCTCTCGTTCGACGGTAGGAATAGGTGGGAGTGAGACCCAAAACAGGGAAGGAATTGATGGAAAAGCGGTGTAGCGTTGACCCGCTGCTTGCTTGCATAATGAGTGAGCCGGGAAAAGGGAAGAGCTAGCTGACAATTCAACATTTTTTTGAATAAACCGAAATTGTCTTTACCTTCGGAATTGTGCGTGACTCTATATCACGGGAAAGGGTGGAAGAGAGATAGATGGGGCAACTACCTTCCGGGTTCTACTGAAATATGAATTCCGCCTGGGGAAGGCTTGCATCAGGCTTCGCAGCCAACCGCCCCGATTCCATCTTCCACCCCGATATATGGAAAAGATACCCTGGGGGGCAAACTCTCCATGTGGGGACATCCCTGGGCCAGAAGCGCTTTTCTTTCTTTTTCATCACACTAGCTGGATCAGATTTCGTATATCAGAAAAATGAACGATCCGTCAAGTTCAGGATTGATCTCTAATAATGAGTCTGCACCAATATCAATCCATTTTCTTCTATTTATTCCAAGGCAAGTGTTGGTTCAACAATAGTCAAAATCAAGGAACTATTCGTACGTTGTTGTTGAATAGGAAGGAAAGGAATAAAGAACGCCAATCTTTTCTCTGTCAGCATCTAATTGTTTTCAAATGGATCCATTCATGGAAAATCTGAGAATGTGAGAAATAGAAAAAGATAGATCACGTCTGTAGGCTTAGGAATTCGTTATGACCTTTATTAGGGGCTCTTCCTCAAATTGCGTTTGTTCATTTCCATGCAGTAACATCGTTTTCAATACATTTAATTTGAATTGGCATTTTCTCATCCATATCATCATAGTTATTGTGATGAAAGACCCACAAGAATTAGCCTTGGACAGTTTCTTTGTTCAAATGGATGTATAGCCAAAGAAAGACCATACCTAAAATAGAGTCAAATTCTAATTGTTCAAGTGGATGTAGTAGTAAGGTAAGAAGCTAAGCCTGATTTGGACACTTCCGAAGCATTTACTAATATTCTAATAGTTGGTTGGCCCTCGCCATTATGGAAAAATCCTTTATTTACGAAGTAGAGAATTGACGAAAAATCACGATCTGGTGACGCAGTGTCTTCCGTCTTCCAAAAGTGTAACAAGTGTTAGAGTTCGATTGATTCAATATTGATGAGCCTAGAAGAGTTGAGGGTTGGAACGAGCGTATAAGAAGAATGATTGGAATTCCTTTCTAAATTCTTGTACGTACCTCAAATAACATCAAAAGTGCTGGTTTCAGAAGAATGTCTAATGTTGTTCACCTAGAGAACTAATTGTTGCGAGCGTAACGAACGGGGTGCTTTGTTTGGAAGAAGTGATCTGTTACCGAGCCAGATTATTGGGAATACCGATAGCATCTATAAATACTCTATCATATCCGAAGCAAGAAAGAAAGAGCTCGAGTTTTAGCAAAAGCCGCTCTCCTGGTTGAAAGGTCTGAAAGATAACGTTGTTCTAGGAGGGATGATGATGATACCCGTTGGTACCGGATTCAAAGGAGCACCGTTCGAGGCAATATAACAACCTAAAAGAAATAGCATTTCGTCAGATATAGGCATATTACAATTACTGGGCAATATAATTCAATCAATAGCCATAATAATAGTCTAACTAGCTTTTTCAAAAAGACTTGCTATCCAAGTCCTCTTCTTCCACGATTCCCTTCCGCGGTGAAAAAATCATACCTCCAAGACAGTCCACAGGTCCTCCACCGGGCACTATGCAGATTAGAGTTCCACTAAGCTCGAGCTCGGCAAAAAGTTCTAAAAACCTTCCATAAAATCTTTGTCCTGTTTTAAATAGGCACGAAGACGAAATGAGAATAACGAGCGTGTGTGAATTGGGGAAAACTCACCCGAAACGCTCGATTAGAAAGAAATTCTATAAGATGGGTGTGATGATGGGAGCTACAAGTGCAGGTATTCCTGTCAAATTTGTGCCTTTGTTTCAATAAATTCTAACCACTTAGCATGTCATCTGTTGAGTTTATTTTGTACGCTCAAATGCTTTGAACTTTCATGATCCGTATGAATAATGAACTTTCATGATCCTTACCTTAATGTTCTTTAGTGAGAAGTTGACTGGTGCATATTTAAGGTATCCAACTTATGACAAAGAGCTTTATGCTTTGGTTCGTGCATTGCAAACCTGGCAACATTATCTTTGGCCTAAGGAGTTCATTATTCATAAAGATCATGAAAGTTTAAAGCATTTGAGAGTACAAAATAAACTCAACAGACGACATGCTAAGTGGTTAGAATTTATTGAAACATTCCCTTATGTCATAAAATATAAACAAGGTAAGGAGAACATTGTTGCAGATGCATTATCACGAAGGTATGTCCTCCTCAATACTTTGAATGCTAGGTTGTTGGGTTTTGAACACATAAAGGATTTGTATCAACATGACATGTTCTTTGCTCCTTTTGTTGAATCTTGTGAAAAAGGACTCGTTGTGGATAATTACTTGTTGTTAGATGGATTTTTGTTCCGAAAAGGCAAACTTTGCATACCATCTTGTTCCATCCGTGAGCTACTTGTGAGGGAAGCTCATGGAGGTGGTTTAATGGCACACCATGGAGTTTCTAAAACTTATGATATGCTCTCTGAACATTTTTTTTTGGCCTAAAATGAGACATGATGTTCATAAAGTTTGTGCTCGTTGCATAGCATGTAAACAAGCTAAGTCTAGGTTTCAACCACATGGTTTATACTCCCCATTACCGGTTCCTAATGGTCCTTGGATTGATATATCAATGGATTTTATTTTAGGTTTACCTAGGACTAGGAAAGGTTATGATAGCATCTTTGTTGTGGTTGATCGATTTAGTAAAATGACTCATTTTATTCCTTGTCACAAAACTGATGATGCAAAACATATTGCAGACCTGTTCTTTAGGGAAGTTGTACGATTGCATGGCATTCCTAAAAGCATCGTTAGTGATCGTGATGTAAATTTTTTAAGCCACTTTTGGCGTGTTTTATGGGGAAAGTTAGGAACTAAGCTAATATATTCAACTACTTGTCATCCTCAAACGGATGGACAAACTGAAGTTGTTAACAGAACCATGACTGCTATGCTTAGGGCTATTATTGATAAGAATCTTAAGACTTGGGAGGATTGTTTGCCCTTTATAGAATTTGCATATAATAGGGTTGTTCAAAGCACTACTAAATGCACACCTTTTGAAATTGTTTATGGCTTTAATCCTTTAACCCCCCTTGACTTGCTGCCCATACCGTCAAAAGAGTTTGTGAATTTTGATGCAAATGCCAAGGTTGAGTTTGTTCATAAACTTCACAAGCAAGTGAAAGAACAAATTGAGAAACAAAATTCCAAGGTTGCCACCCGAATTAATAAAGGACGTAAGTTTGTCATCTTCAAGCCAGGAGATTGGGTTTGGGTGCATTTCCGAAAAGAAAGATTTCCTACTCCAAGAAAATCTAAGCTTTTACCACGAGGAGATGGACCTTTTCAAGTTCTTGAGCGTATCAACGACAATGCTTATAAAATTGATTTACCAGGTAAGTACGGTGTTAGTACAACTTTTAATGTTGTTGATTTGAGTCCTTTTGATGTAGGTGATGGCTTTGATTCGAGGACGAATCTTTTTCAAGAGGGGGAGAATGATATGAACCACGAGCAAGGAATTTCCATACCTGAAGGTCCCATTACAAGGACGAGAGTTAAGAAGCTACAACAAACCTTATACAGTTATATTCAAGCTATGGTGAGCTCATCAAAGAAAATTCTAGAAGTCGCTGGAGACCTCCCTTATATGTTGTGCAAAGTTGAGCTTCAAGAAAGAGATGAATTAAATGCACTTTCAGTTGCATTTAATGAACTCCACTGAATTTATGAAACTAGTCCAAGGATGAGTCAATAAACACATTTTATTAATTGCATTATTTTATTATAGTTTAAATATTTGTTTGTCATATTTAAGCTAGTTTTAAATATAGGAGTTAAGGTTATATTATAACCCACATAGGTTACTATATTCCACCATTAACTAGCCATTTTAATATGGAGGTTATGGGTATTTTTCATTTACTAGCCCATTTAATTTGGGAGTTATATATCCATAAGTTAAGGTTGTAAGGGCTATATAAAGCCTTCTTTTCTTTGATTAGACATCAGATTTTGGAATTAAGAATAGAATTTCTATTTTAGCTTTGTTGAGAGCTAAACTTTCTTTGCAAATTCTTGTGTTTAGAACTTGCATGTAGAGTCATTCAAGTGGTATTGATCAAACCTCTTGTGGAGTGATTCGAATCACGAGTTTAGAAACGAGTTTTCTTTACTCTTGATCTTGATCATCAAGGTAATCCGTTCCATACTTTCCCTTGGGTTGATTTTCCATATCATTACAATTTAGAGTTTTTAGGACTTTTAATTTACTTTAGGTTACAATTACATAATGGTTAATTAAGGCCAGTAAGCATGAATGTTTCATTTTGAGGCTATATAAAGCCATGTATGTTGTATTTGTAAGAGACTTGGAAAATATAGTAAAAGAAGCCTTTGTGCTGTTCTTTAGCCAATGGCTAAGTTTCTTTGCAATTCTATGTAGTTTAGGTTGCATGTAGAATCATTCAAGCTCGACATGATCAATCTTGCTTGTGGAGTGATTCGAATCTCAAGCAAGTGTTCTTGCCTTGAGATATTTGATCAACAAGAATCATTCAAGCTAGACATGATCGATCTTGCTTGTGGAGTGATTCGAATCTCAAACAATGTTTTTGCCTTGAGATATTCGATCAACAAGGTAATCCAAATCTTACTTATCCCTATAGAAAGGCAAGATGAATTCAAATTCAGCACTTTGACTGTTTTTACGTCTATTAAAAGGCGGTAGGAACTAGAATGAACAGTGCAGTAGCAATAAATGCGAGAATAAAGACTTCCATAATCTCATCGTTCCAGTTTTGTTAGGAAGATCATCTCAGTCATTTCTTTCTTTCTCATTTGTTGCATTCTTTCTTTTCTATAATCTACTGCCCTCTTGTCCAATGCAATTAGCTGATTCAGTCTCAGCAGACAGACTGACTACCTTTACCCTCAGTTTATAAACAAACTCAAGCAAACACACACTGCGAAATTCTAAAAAGGAAAAGGAGGTAGGTTCGAACGTCACCCCTTTTTGTGTACTGATCAAATCTTCTTAAAAAAAAAAAGAATGAAATCCGAAACGGAAACTTTCTAAAATGATGAATTCCCTCACTAAGAGAGATAGATGGGGATCCTTGTTTGTATTAATATGTTCTTTCCTTTCATTAGTAGTGGGACGTATATATCAAAAGTTCAGTGTGAGATTAGAATGAGATAGATTATTTCTAATTCCAAGTAGTTTAGTAATTGAATTGACTAACTAATTGAGGTTACACAAAATCGGAGCCTGAACGGAACGTATATATTTTTCTTGCTTGCTTTCAGACTAAAAGTTAGATCATAGTTGACGTCACTCCTTTCTTTTTGTGTATCGTCTAAATTCCCTTTGTGTATGTGCTTCCCAGAAACGTATAGTACTCTATTCCATTAGCTAAATCGGGCCAATCAACTAGACCCAATACTGTATTCATTCGAATCGGGAATATGATGCTACCAATAATTGCGGTAATTCGCATATGGCACATATGGCTTTCTCCCATCAATCAATACTCGTTGAAGAAATGGAAATTGCCCTATTAGTTTTTATTGGATTTGGATCCATCGGGACTAACTGACGGGGCCCCCCAGCTTCCGCCTTGACAGGGCTCTGACCAATTGAACTACAATCCTGGGGAAATCAAGTGTACATGTTGTTGATTTCATTTCCTTCAAACCTTTTCATGTAGATTTTTTATTCAAATTGGCATATTTTACTAGACAGAGACGCGAGGAATAGATTGATATGCGTGGAGACAGTTACTTTAGTAAGAGGAGCATGAATTCATAGTCGTTATTGTCAAATTGATTGATAATCCATCTATCTGGCAATCAATCAAAAAAGAGGGAGGGGTTAATATTCCTTCCTTCATATCCAGCAGTTCTGGCGAAGGACAAATGGAACATATCATTTTATGGTGGGATACGCGAATTAGTGGGCCGAGCTGGATTTGAACCAGCGTAGACATATTGCCATTTACAGTCCCTCCCCATTAACTGCTCTCACATTGACCTGGGAAGGCGAATCCCTGCTGCCTCCTTGAAAGAGAGATGTCCTGAACCACTAGACAATGGGGGCATACTTGCCCGACTGCCATCATACTCAGACTATTCGAAAAGTATAAATAGAATAGACTCATATGATGCAATTCGTAAGGATTTTTCTGTCTATCATTATTCCATAGAATTCTAACTAGATTATTCTTTTATTGATTGAAATAATTCGAAGGCTAGTACCCTTCCTTCCGGAAGTTATTGGTGGTTTCCCATATGCTATAAATGGGATGAAACTCAATTTCTCATACTTAATCTCATTGATTCACTCATTGGTAAGATAAAGTTAGGTAGGTATATTTCGATCTCACACTAAGCCAACCAAGAAAGACAAAGAAAAGGAAAGAAAAGGAGGTAGGAACTAACTGGGGAAGAGAGGGATAGGGATCAACAAGTTATTTCAAATAGGATTCTCGCCATCCAAGTCTAATTGCTTTCTCAATGATTCGGTGAATGGATCCATATTCAATTCGTGGGTGTACATGTCTCAATCAAATGAATTGAGTTAGGGTGGGGCTCATCAATTGAATTAGGCTCGGTCTTATGATGAAACAATGAATTTATCAAATCCAATATCCATAAATAAACCATTTTACCTATACTCAGTAGATAGAGTTATCCCATTTTCCGTTCGTGAATGAGCGAGTGGATAAGATCCATTTATGTACATTCTTTCTTCTCATTTCTAATAATTATATACATGGAACTCATTGGGCGGGGCTAGTGGCTTCAGAAATTGAATCAAATAGGCCGGCCTTTTTCACTTAGTGGTAGAGTAATGCCATGGTAAGGCATAAGTCATCGGTTCAAATCCGATAAGGATGAAATTAGAACAGTGGATCCCTTTGATTGCATTTTCATATTGATTTGGCCCACATACAGGAATCCGACAAGATTTTCGATTCAATCCTCTTGGTTGTAGACGTTCTATAGGAAAATTGGATGGCTATCTCCCTTTCGCCACAGAGAAACCCTTATTCCAAGTCACAACATATGAGCCCTTTCCAAACAAACAGAGAAGATCAGATAATAGAGGATAAGATCAATCTATGTGCCAAAGATTTTCCATATTCTTTGATGGTCCAACGATGTGACGAAGAATAGAAAGGAGAAGGAGAACGAGACTTGAAGTTACTTTACCAGCAGTACATTATTGAGTGAATAATATTGATCTAGGTCAGGTTATGGACCAATCAAAAAAGGATTTAGATATTCAAAACCCATTAGATAGAAAGAAAGAAAGAAGAAGGGACAGTAGAAATCAGACAGAAATGATAGACTCGAAGGCCCTTGCTATGCTATGAGGTGTTCGAAAATAGTTCACGTTAGTTGAATAGGAAGATCCACTATGACTATAGCCGTTGGTAAATTGACCAAAGACTCAAATGATTT